AAAACACAAAATTATTTTTATTTTGTGATAAACCGTACACTATGAACTAAAATAGTCGAGAGCGCCGCGCCAGCTGAACAACTTTGGCCGACATTTTCGAATCTAAATTGTAAGTTTAAGGGTTAATCCGTAAGCTCTAATGGTGAAGGAAAGGTTTCACAAAAAATCACGAAATATTACGTAGGAAAGTCGGGTCTAGTAAAAATATCACGTGTATTTATTTTTTACCTCAATTTGAAAAAAAAATCTAAAATTTTTCAAAAAAATAATTCACAAATGTTACTAATTTTTTTGAGTGCGGGAGAGAAATATAACCACTATATCTATAAAAAATCGCTCACATGATTAATGAACGCCCCCTTATATGTATTATGTAAATAATTATACCTGTGGTGGTGGTTGCTGTGCCTGTTGCTGCTGATGAGCATGGAAAGCAACGTGTTGCTGGTGCTGCTGATGGTGATGGTGCAAAGCCATTTGATGTTGCTGGTGTTGATGCTGTTGCTGTTGGTGCTGCTGTTGCTGCTGATGATGTTGATGAGCAGCTACCGCTGCTGCTAATTGAGGATTATGATACAAGGCCGCTGCAGCTGCAGCTGCTGCGTAAGGTGTCACAACACCTGCAAAAAAAAACAAACATTTGAATAAATCTTACATATAAAATTCTTCTGTAACTATGTATGAATGGTTAATCCTCCTAAACTATAATTCGAATTTTCATGAATCTTCCTGAAGTTTGTTCGGGAAATTTTCTAGAATGTTTTGATTCATAGAAATATAGTTAGATTGTAGAAATAAATGGAAAAAATTACAAAAAACCGCTTATCATTGTTTGACCTTGAAAATATTTAAGGCATAGTTTGACATTAAAACAAATGAAAACCGTCACATTTGCCAAACATTTCCATTCACTTATAGGCTAAGGCAATATTAGAATATAATAAATTCATGATTATAAATAAGGAAAATGTAATGTCTACATTATTAATGCCAAAAAGCAGCTGAGATGTGCCAAAAATTAAAATAATATAATAAAATAGAGTCAACATGCGTCTGACAAGTGATGCAGTTCTGCGCATGCATCTCACGTTTGTGAAATGTCAGCTCAATGTAATTACATACCCTATTTAAATTCAATTTTGACATATTATTTTTTTAACTAAACTTAAAGAAAAATTAAAAGCGTTGTTTGCTAATATCTTCAGAAATATACATTTTAACGAAAATCATGTAATGAACAAAATTATATCAATTAAAATCCTAATAAATCGCTATTTTACAGTGCTCTAGGAACAATATTAAGCTAGATATGAAGATGGGTTTTTATAGTGCTCAAAATAAGCTTTAAAATGAGTACTTCTGCGTGTAAAATAAGTGAGCTATCATGCAATATGCAAAAGACGGATACAATGTTTTTTTTTTCCATTTAAATCAAATAGTTTATGAGTGCCATTTCCACCAAAATTAAAAATAATCGTTTTCCATCTAGAATTGACTTGGTTCAAGAGATCTTGATGGATTCTAGAAAATACCATAACTTTAGTACAAACGATTTTCAAAAAACTCATTAAAAAAACAACCAATTTCTCATTATTATATCTCTGAAATTCAAGGGTATTTTCTGACTAATTATTGCTTTTTATTATTTTTTTGTTACACAAATATTGATAGAGTTATAATTGTTTAAAGAGTGCGCAGCTGTAAACCAGAGTGTCTTTCAAGCCCTTTAACCCTTTAAAATAAGGGAAGTTACAGTAAAATTGATGATAGAGAAAGTTGTAGGTCATTTAATTACCCTTAAAATAGTATATTACAAGTTCTGATAAAATCAGAATTAAAAGAGTTATAATCCAAATAATGCCGAGAGTGGTGAAGGAGTGCAAATTGTTTTCACTTCTAAACTTAAGATTAAGATTAGCCTATTTCCAAAACATCAAGCAAATTGGAGCATAGTAAAAAAATTCGCAGAGCACACGTTTTTTTCCTCTCTATTTTCTGCAATAATTTTGTTTATCGTAGGTTGAATAGAGCACATGTGAACAGGATTTGACAAATTAATTCACTTCAAATATAAACTTAAGTAATAATGTATACTGAATTATTCGTGAGAAAAATGTAATTTAGATATTAAAATTACTAAAAGCGAGTTAAAATATTAGGTTGTCAAATATCTCCCTTCCGCTTTTTTGCTCTTGGTTTATAATACAAAAAGGCGGAAGGGAGATATTTGACAACCTTATATGGTACGAAATTTTAAAAATTATAGGCGACATTTTTGAAGCAATTATTTTTGGTAGAAAAATTCAAGGTGATATACCTATACCGCGAATGCTATATATTAATTCTTTCTGAATATGCTATACCTTTTAAAGACTTCAATTTCAACTTCTAGTACGTATATCTTATGCTATAAATCACAAAGGCAGACGATTTTTGGTGTGATAATTTTGGAAAATCAATGTTTTAGTGTGAATAAACAAAAAATCATTCATTTATACATCCCACATCTACAGGTATGACTAAAATTATTGGATAACCCAGGTATTAAAATGAATTGAGCTATTGGAAATAAATTTGTGCTATTAATTGCAGTGTACAATTTTTAATATACAATTTTTATTGAACTTTTTAATATTTGTTAAAGGGATAATTAAGTGTTAACTGTGGGAATTGAGAATCATAATTTTATCTGAAACAGTTTCTACATTTAACATCACTCATATTTGTGTAAATAGTAATTTGAAAACAATAATTATTATTTTAACTGAACGGTGTAAATATAGTATTGGATATTAAACTAGTTGGTTTGGTATTTAGCCTTGAGGCAAGTTACATGAACTTCCCGAAATGTGTAATTAATCGACTTAATCAATAAAAAATAATTTAATTTGTGAGTGATTATAAGTATTCCGAGTGGATTTATTACATATGATTGAAAACGAACGAACACTTTGACTCAGAGTATTTTCTAATAGCAAATTTTTAAAAATCACCAGTTTTTGTAATTGAACCAGTTTCCATGGACTTTAATGGTTTACTATGTTCATTAAACCCAAGTACTCTATCGTTATAATCCAAAAAAATCGTCTAATTTTAATTTTACAAATGACAAAAAAACTACTCATTTTCTTAATCTTTGATTAATTTTTAAAATTAAACTACTTGTCGTAAGGCCATGATATTTCAGTAAGTTCTATAACACCATGATATATATCGCCAAAAAAGTTCCATGAAAATCGGCTTAATTTTTTTTTCAAACAGTTAATTACAAAACTGCTCGGTAGATTTTCATCTAAAACTAATCAGTATCATTCCCAATTAATATCTTCGAACAGTTTTTGATTTTTTAAAATCGGTTCGGTAGGATGAGCTTAAATGTGGACGAAAAGTTTAACACTTCTTTTCAAATTACAAAGAAATGGTTTGACAGATCGTCTCACATAACTGACAAACGATAGTCCTTATTAAGATACATAAAATGGTTTTTAAATTTATGAAATCGATTCAGGCATTTTTCAGAAAACGTCGATGAAAGGTTTAATTTTGTCAAATGTCAGAGAAACGACACTAATTTTTGCAAACTTTGACGATTTTTTCAAAATTAAACGACTTGTGGTAGGGCCGTAATATTTTAGTATGGTCTACAAGACTATGGTATCTACCGTCAAAAAAAAATTAAAAAAAATCGTCGATTTTTTTTTTTAAAAAAACTTTATTACAAGAAAACGAACGGACGGCCGGCCGATCTTTACCAAAAACTAATCAGCACGATTCCCCAATCAATATCTATCGAACGGTTTTTGAATTTTCAAAATTGATTCAGAATTGCGGGCTAAAACGTAGACAAAAAATTTTTTCACTTTTCTGCGATTTACAAAAAAAAAACACGGCCCGGCCGATCGTCGCACAAAGCTTAGAAACGCTAGTCCTCATCGAGATACATCAAATGGCTTCTAAATTTTTGAAATCGGTCCAGTCGTTTTTGAGAAAACGTCGATTTACGGCGAAAAATCTGTTGGTGCACACGCACACACACACACACATACATACACACACACATACATACACACACACATACATACACACACACGCGCGCACACATACTTTTTCCAAATTTAGTCTCATTCGATTCAGAATGTCTCTTAGAACGTCCAGGAGAAAACATAAAATTAGTGAGTCGGATTTTTTGATGAAAACATAAACTTCTCCTTCGGGAAGTTAAAAATTGTAGACATGGGTACAGGACAACGTCTGTCGGGTCAACTAGTAATATTATATAAAAATGTTATATAGCAATTGTAAAGTTCATTTTCTATCTCACCAGGACTAGCGCGTATTGCATATGTGCCCCCGGCGGCGGCATTGGCGGCGCACCAGTAACCACGACGCCTCCGGGGAACTCCTGCTCCTCGTTCTGTCCAGCCTGCTGAACAGGCGGAGGAACCGGCATGGGCAAAGCAGTGGTAGAGATTTGGTTCACAACTACTTGTTGTTGTTGTTGCTGCTGCTGTTGTACCACCGACACTGGTATAGGTTGCTGTGGCATACCAGATGTGGAAGGAGGCATTGCTAGTGGCATTGGCTGCGCTACCATCTGCTGCTGCTGTTGAGAAGAAACTACAGGGGCAGACGTTGTCACCATGGGCGGTGGTTGTTGTAGTTGCGCCATTGGAATGAGATCCTAAAAAATAGACATATGCATTTTGATAAATAACTAGTGGTGTATGGCATCGTGCCTTAAGGCAAATTTCTGGAACTTCCCGTACCGTAATAAAATATTCAAAATATTTCAATTCAAATTATATATTACAAATACTGTAGTAACTTTCATTATTTTTGCTATCTTGTTATATCTGAGCAAATCAAATGTAAATCATTAATCAATTTATCTCTAGAACATTAACAATCGTCATTTCATTTCGAATTTAATTTCAAAAAAAAAAAAAATAGTTGCATTTACACAAAATTGAAAAAGTGCTCCCGAACAGTCACAGTCTAAACGCATTTGCAAATAATTATGTGCGACATTTTCACTGATACTGTACCTAGCTTGGCGACATTTATAAGAACTAAAATGTTTGTTGTTAAATTGAGGAGGCTACATTTTAATATATCTCGTTTTATATTTTTAGACCGGTTCGATTTTTATTTGTTTATAACTTCTAAACAAATTGTCCGATTGTTTTGCAATATCCAGCAAATTTTTAGCCAATTAAATTATCTCCAACTTTTGTTAATAACAAAATGTTGTATCTCATATCCTTTTACCCAAAATTTGCAATGAAACAGGTTGTTGTTAAATTTTGGAGGTTGCATCAGTATATCTTGCTTCACACTTTTGGACCAGCTCGATTTTTATTTATTTATTTATAACTTCAAAACGAAATGTCCCACCATTTTGCAATGTTCAGCAAATTTATAGCCAATTAAATTATCTACAATTTCTATTAACAACAAAAATTGGTATCTCTTGTCCTTTTATCAAAAATTTACATTTAAAAAGGTAGTTGCTTAAATTTGGCGGTCACATCGTACTCATGTATCTTACTCTGTCACTCTACACTGTCAGGTATATGTTGCTCTTTTTCGCACTAGTGTTTTATATCTCTCTCTCTCATTTTATCACTATATACTGTTGTCTCTTTTACGTTGAATCAAAACAGACTCTATATCACATGGCGACTTAAGAAGTTTTACTTCAAAAATAAAATTCTATTTTACTAATTTATACATCGCCAACCTAAGAAGTTGAATTCATATGTGAATCATAAATCAATCAATTTATCTCCAGAACATAAACAATCGTCATTTCATTTCGAATTCTATTTCAAAAAAAAAATGGTTGCCTAATTTACACAAAATTGAAAAAGTGCTCCTGTACAGCCACAGTCTAAACGCATTTTCAAATAATTCTGTACGATATTTTCACTTGTACTGTGCTTAACGTGGCGGCATTTTCATATTTTTCAATAGCTTTGTTTTCACAAAATTGGGAAAGTGCTCCGGTATATAAACAGTCTAAACGCACTTGGGTAAACATTTGCACCAGAGTGGCGCTTAGATTGTGCTTAGCTTGGGTAATTTTTTGAATTTTTGAATCCAAAATTACAAAAATATTTTATGGAAAATATAAAAAGATGTAATAATTTTTTATCCTCAAAAGCAATTGTTTTGTCAATACAAGCAGAAAGTTTTTTAGATCATTCAAATCGGACGCTTAGTTCACTCAAAAACTGCCATTTTTGCACATTTGGCTCTGTATCTTCGAATTGGCGGGACCTGTCTTTGTCAAAAACTAATCACCTCTTCTACCAATCATTACAAATTTAATGTTTTTTAGATCATTCAAATCGGATACTCCGTTCTCTCAAAAACTCTATATGTATTCTCTGCATTCTTTGCTCCGTATCTCCGTAACGGCTGGACCTACCTTTGCCAAAAACTAATCAGCACGTCTCCCTATCAACAAAAAACGAATGATTTTTGAACTATTCAAATCGGTTGATCCATGCGCCCGAAAACGTGGAAAAAATGCGGACATACAAAACCACACACACATCCATTTTTTCTGAGGTACGCCAGTAAAATGTTCAGAAACCTTCAAAGCGTCGAGAAATGCAAAAATTTTCATTTTCGATTTTCGGCCCATTACTATAACTACCCTACGGGAAGTTAATTATGCAGTTATAAAAAAACTGCCAAATATAAATTGCAATAATATTGTTGTTCGTCTATTAAAATGTAATAATTTAACATTTTACTTACCTGTGGTGTAGGTTCGACGACCAATGCAACCAGAGAATCTCCTGCTCCAAGAGGTGCAATGCCTGCACACATAACATCATCAGGATTAGGTGCATGACCCTGGTGTGGAGCGTCTCCAGGGGCCAAAATAACATATAAATCATACCAGTATCTTGCAACTTGGAATAATACTTCAGGATATACTCCACCGCCTGAAACAAAACAAAATTTATGAACAGTCCGCATTTTAAATTTCAATAGTATTTTTACCTTTAGCAACACTTTCTACTGTAACACAAGCCCTCTCCAGCATAACATCGCTTTGTTCCTTGCATTGTAAAATAGCTCTTTGTATTTCGTTAGGATTAAGAGCTTGGGCATGAGGTAAACAAGATAATGCCAATTCGGCAGCAGCTCTAACCATATTAGCGTCACAATTCTGTGAAGCACGATCTGCAATAGTTACTGCCTCGGGAGGTGTCAAATGCCCTTCCCAAGTATCAATCAGAAATGATATGGCAGGAGCACCGATCTCCATTGCTTGTCCTGGTAAAAAAGTAAAAATTATATTGGTCAAGATTTGACCAGGGTTTTTATTTAACCTGGGACCCTTCGGGGTAGGGGGTACAATTATATGAGTATAAATACCTGTAACATATAATAATAAGAGAGTCTAGCAAATGTAATAAGAGAAGAAGGTTGTAGAGTATAGTTCAATATATGTCATAAATTAAATAGTGGTTTTATTCACATTTTCTTATGGTGATGAAATATTTATAATTTACAGTCCACTCAATATCAAATTAATCAAAGTGATCCTCACCATATATGAATACAATAATCTTATATATAAAAATGAATCGCAAAATGTGTTGGTAAACGCATAACTCAATAACGCCTGGACAAATTTGACCGGTTCTTTTTTTTTAATGTTCGTTGATGTCCAAGTATGGTTTTTATGTCGAGTAATTGCTGAGAAAACCTTAATAACACCCATTTTCTTTTTCCCATACAAACGTTTTCTAACTAAAACGTAGAAAAAATTTGAGCTTTATTGCTATTATATAAAGTTCATATTAAATTACAAGCGCTCACTGTATGCTCCTTCTAAACGATTATACGGATTTTGATAAATCTTTCTGAAATTTGTTAAGGAAATTTTTTAGGATGTATGTGATTATAAAGCACTGGGATGTATGTGCAATATTGTAGAAATAAATGGAAAAAGTTGTAAAAAACGACATGTCATTATTAGAATATGTATAATAAATTTATGATTATGAATAAGAAAAATGAAATGTCTACATTATTATTGACTTAAAGCAGCTGAGATGTGCCAGAAATTAAAATAATATAAAATACAGTATATGTATGGTAGATTGAATGATACACATATGAACATGATAAGACAAATTAATTCATTTAAAATATGAAATTAAGTATTAATCAGCCTACCTTTAATGCGATTCATGCGAAATAACAAGCGCACGCCTTAGGGGGCGCCAACACAAGATTCGGATATTAAATTTTCAATATAGTTTTTTTTTTCAATATATAATTTCTTTGCATCTTTTACTAATATTTCCACAATATTTGTAAAATTTGTAAAAATTTCACTTTATAACAACAAAAGGGAAAGCAAAGATTAATACATACAATTCGGCTCTCACGATATCGATTAGAAGAAGTTTAAGATGCAATTTTGGATATACTAAATAATAAAAAATTAACCCTCTGTCGGTCGGCGTGGTCTGGCCAGACTTTTTTCGACTTCAATTAAAAAAAAAAACTTCTAGTAATCCTATCGACTTGAAATTTCTTGACTATTCCTAAAACTTCATTAGCTGTCGATCAATGAAAAAATCAGGACGAAAAAATGTACAGAAGGATAATTATGAGGATATTAACTTTTTTATACTTCGAATGGTCAGAGTGGTCTGTCTAGACCACCCATACATTTTGTATGAAATATACGCTTTTTGATATATGTAAACCAGTATTTTGTCTTTTTTCTGGTATTTTCTATTCAAACTGCATTTATTTATTCTTTGCTATGTATTGTAACATGAATGTTAGTATTTTCACGACGAAAGTTCCTTGAAAACCTACTAAACTTTTTGGTCATCGCAAACATTGAAAATCGGATGAATAATACGCACATTATCAACAATTTTTTTACCCGTACTGCGTTCGAAATTTTTTTTGGCAAACTTGTAGTGAAATTATATTTTCAACCTGAATTTTAATTTACAAGACGGTAAAAAAAGAAAAAATCTAAACTATAAATATTTACTCCTAATAATCGTCAATATATAAGATACCAAATACTCATTTATCCCATATAAATGCATGTAAAATGAATGGTGGTCCGGCCAGACCACTCCGACCGTTCGAAGGTGAAAAAATATCCGATCGACGGAGGGTTAAATTAATTTAATCCAACATGAAGTACCAGTGTTATGTTATGGTTATGTTATGCTGTTTAAAAGATTTCAATTTCCAATATAGTGTGGGCATTGAGATTCGTCATTTTAAAGCAGTTCTACATTTAACATCGCTCATCTATTATTATAAATGAATATGCATTTTGGCGTGAAGAGTAATTTAAAAAACAATAATTATTATTTTTAGGTAAACGGTAAATATTAGTACATTATATTCAAAAATTGCAGACATGGGTACAGGACAACGTCTGTCGGGTCACCTAGTAAAAATAAAATAAAAATGATAATTTTTTTTTCTTACCAATGATCCAGCTAACGTGCGAAGAGTACGTCCTGGACAGCCAGTTGGAGCTGACGCAATTATGCAATCCAAGGGCGTACAGGCCCAATTGAAATGCACACATATGCAAAGCCCTGTGCGGTCCATGATGATTCTGTGTAGTCGATGCTTGAGTAAACAACGAGGTACTACTATTACCTCCAGCTTTAGTCAATACACTTTTAGCCAACTCGAACATAAAATGCGCACTCGCTTCCGAAGGCTGGTTGGGTATAGAAGGATACGCACGCTTTCCCTTATACCTCGACTCTTTGCTCCTCGTCGAAGTAATTTGACTTGTTGTGACTTGACTGGTTGGCGCGCTGGTTCCACTAATTGATAAATTGCACATGCCAACGTTGTCAAGTTCGGCACTGGTTGAACTATGAGGTCTCGACGGTTGTTGTGGTAGTTGTTGCATTTCCCATGAGTACATGTGCGGAACGAATTGGTCGTTGTGTTCCTCTCGTTGGCGCATGGAAAACAAACGACTTCTTATGGGTGGATTGCTTGAGTAATATGAACTTAAAATAGGTGTTTTAATTAATTGATGTATTTCCCTATCTAAAAGCTTATCCATAATTCTTGCTATCTTATTAGGCTCTTGTTTGTAGTGGTTGAGAAGAACTAACGCGAGGTCTCCGCGTTGCCTTCTGGTGCCTTCACATAGTAAAGGATGATCGGCTTCGCTAACATTCGCTTTTAGGCCTAATGCTGCCACTGCTGCCTCAAATCCTAGGGCTTCATCAGTGGGTAGCCATGGAAAAACATTTTTGCTCTTGCCATTACTAAGTGCTTCAAAAATAAAGCTCGCCAGCATGATTGGCAGCAAAGCTTCGCCCCTTGAACGTAAAGTACCTTCTTTTAATTGCTTGGCACGCTCCCGCGTTATTGACAACTCTACAGGACCTAACGTTATACGTTTCAGTAAATTCACTAGATCAGACTCTTGATTTGCTAGTTTGACTTCCAAAGGCTTAGTGCTAGCCGGTGGACGCGGTAACTCCAAGCCAAAAAGACCAACTTTGAAAGCCAAAAGCGAGTGTTCTTGGTTTTCAGCTAGCACAGTGCAAAGAAAAGCACATTTTGCTAACGTGGCCGATGCTAAGACACTCAGTTGATGTGAAGCGGGATTTATATGGTGCTTCTTGCCTTTCTTCCTTTGTATTTGCGGAATTTCGACCATCAAATCCGGAGGATTTGCTAGCAGTTCCTCTGCCAATTTAACACCAAGGATGCATGCTTCTCGTCCGTGCCCGTGAGCATGCAAACCTTCTGCACGGGCGAATAAAATTTCCCATGCGTCATCACTCATTTTAATATTGTTAAAGATATCTTTCAGTTGCTGATCCATTGTCTTGTCTTTGGAGGTGCCTGCTGTACTCTGCACGGATTGCAATGCTTTGGGGTCATAGTAATAATGACTGTACTCATCACCTAAGGGAAAGAAAGGTAATATAATAACTAAGTGGTGCATGGCATCGTGCATTAACGCAAATTGCTGGAACTTATCGTACTAAAAATTATTTTTTTAAAAAAAGATTAATTTTTTTTTATATAGATAGTTGAGTCTTTTCTAGTGAGTAGTGTTAAATTGGTACACTATTTGGGAGCACTAATAGAATAGGGAGCAATAATGAAATACCATTTATTTCTAATAACTTTCAAACTCTGATTTAATGATAAATCTGTATGACAAACGTGTATAAATTATAAACTATACATTATAAACAAATTACCAGATCATTAGATATTAAAAGTAATGAGACTAGAATTTTTTTTCTAACTTTGACAAAATTAGAAATTGACTTGAAAAATTCAAATTTTTTGTAAAAAATTGACTTTTTTGGAAAAAAGACTTTTTGATAAAGAATGTTTTTTTTATATTATGGAAATTTTGAACTTTTTTCAAAGAAATCGCGCTGCTTCAGTTGAAAAGAGACGAAATATCAAAGCGCGTAAGCGCCTCGTCGCGCTCTAGCGTATAAACGATGTTACAGAACCCATAGGAATGTAAACAAAATTCATAGGAAGCGTCCATTAATCACGTAAGATTTTTAGGAGGAAGGAGGTGTTTGACAAAAATCACTATTTTTAAAATCATCATTTCTAAAAAAATCTAAACATTTTCAAAAAAATCAAATATTTTACAATTTTTTCTTGAAAAGTGGCGTCCATTAATCACGTGAGGTTTTAAGGGGAAGGGGAGGAGAGGTTTGTTGACAAAAAATCGCAAAATATCACATTGTGAGGGTATTGTGAGATATTATCACAAGTATTTTTTACTAGAATTTTTTAAAAAAAAACCCAAACATTTTCAAAAAAATCAAACATTTCACAATTTTTTGTCGTGACTAAAAATACACGTGATGTTTGGTGGTAGAGAGGGGTAATTTTGAAGGGGCAAAAATCCTTAAAAAAATCGATCACGTGATTAATGTACGCCTCCATACGTATTATTAAAATCTCTATAAAATATCTAATAATGTTATGTGCCCTAATATATATATGTATCTAATATTGATTTTTGACTGCCAAATGGCATTTTTTATTTTTTTACGAAACCGCTAGACCTGCTTTTCAAAATTTAATCAGTTCTTCATCTTGTCAATACAAGTAAAATGTTCTTAGAATTATTAAAATCGGACGCTCCGTTCTCTTAAAAACTGAGTTACCGTTTTCGGCACTTTTTGGCCCATGACTTCGGAAGGCCTAGACCTGCCTTTGCCAAAATCAATCCGTCTCCTTATCAATAGGTATCAAATGGTAATTGAATGATTCAAATCGGTTGAACAGTTTTCTCAAAACCATCGACAAAAATTTGTATCGAAACATATATACACACACATACACACACACACATACATCCAATTTTTGTAAGTATGCCTAATTGTTCAGAAACCTTTGAAACATAAAAACATATAAAAATATATTTCCGATTTTTTGCTATTACTTAACTTACCCTACGGGAAGTTAATTAATATAAAAATTACAATAATAAAGTATATCAACTTACCAGACATTTGTGATTCTGAACTAGACACACTATCATCCTTGCTGTCTCTCCTGGTCAGTTCAGGATGTTTATTATTGCTATTGTTATCAGATTCATCTTTTGATGAACTTCCTGCAGATTTGTTCGAATGGTTTGATCCTGCTCCACTGGTACTAGCCACTGGACGAGCGTATCTCTTATTGCTAAAATAAATAAAAACAATAACATAACAGTTAATAAAAATTAAATCTTATATATAAAAATCAATCGCAAAATGTGTTGGTAAGCGCATAACTCAATAACGCATGGACCAATTTGGCCAATTCTTTTTTTTAAATGTTTGTTGAAGTCCAAGGATGGTTCTTACGGCGAGGCAAAATTGAATAACAGTAGGGAAAACCTTATAAACATCCCTTTTCTTTTTCACATACAAACATTTTCTAACTAAAATCAATAGTAGAATTTGAGCTTTATTGCTATTATATAAAGTCCATATTGAATTACAAGCACTTACTGTGTACTCTACCTAAACAATTATTCGGATTTTGATATCTCTTTCTGAAGTTTGTTAAAGAAATTTTTTAGGATGTATGTGATTATAAAGTACTGGGATGTATATGCAATATTGTAGAAATAAATGGAAAAAATTGCAAAAAACGACATGTCCCTGTTTGCATTGAAAACAAACGAAAACTATCATCTGCTAAAAATTTCAATTTACTTATGAACCTAGCCAATATTAGAATATGTATAATAAATTTATGATTATGAATAAGAAAAATGAAATGTCTACATTATTATTGCCGAAAAGCAGATGAGATGTGCCAGAAATTAAATTAATATAAAATACAGTATATGTATGGTAGATTGAATGATACACATATGAACATGATAAGACAAATTAATTCACTTAAAATATGAAATTAAGTATTAATCAGGGCCGGACCTACCTTTAATGCGATGCATGCGAAAAATACGAGCGCACGCCTTAGGGGGCGCCAACACAAGATTCGGATAATAAATTTTCAATATAGATTTTTTTTTCAATATATAATTTCTAAGCATACTTCACTAAACTTTCCACAATATTTTTAAAATTCGTAAAAAAATCACTTTATAACAACAAATGGGAAAGTAAAGATGAATACATACAATTTGACCTTCACGATATCGATTAGGAGAAGTTTAAGATGCAATTTTGGATATATTAAATAATAAAAAATTAAATTAATTTAATCCAACATGAAGTACCAGTGTTATGTTATGCATATGGTTATGTTATACCTTCTAAAAGACTTCAATATCCAATATAGTGTGGGAATTGAGACTCATCATTTTATTTGAAGCAGTTCTACATTTAACATCGCTCATATTATAAACGTATATGTAAAATGTATTTTGGCGTAAAAAGTAATTTAAAAAACAATAATTATTATTTTTAGGTAAACGGTAAATATTAGTATATTATATTAAAAAAAATGCAGACATGGGTACAGGACAACGTCTGTCGGGTCATCTAGTAAAATATATTTCTATTACCTATCACTATCATCTGAACTGCTTCCACCGCCTCCGCTCCTATCCAAAGTTTTCATAAGACTCTCTCTAGTTTTCAATAATCTGGCACCAGCAGTTCTCTCACAACTTGCACTGCTATTCGAATCACTACTATTATTAGCAGAACTATTACTGCTGCCACTGGTCACCGCACTTTCATTGTTTGTAGCAATTCCTCCGCATCCTGGTGAATCTGTGCCATCGTCGTTTTCGCAGAAACCTTCGCTGGACACACTGGATCGATTGCCATCGTTAGGATGATGGTGATAGGATAGAGAGCCTGATGGCAAGGTGCTTGATGCAGATGCTGGTAGTGCCGAGGAAGTAGAACTACAGGCGATATTTGCACCGGTGCTGGTTGAGGGATCGAGTGTGTGGGACGAGCTTCTGAAAATCCTGAAAGTAGAAATTAAATTAAAATATACTTTGATGCACCGCACAATAGACCAGTGTTATGGCAAGGCCATGTTACGCTCCAACTTGCATACATTATGCTACTGAATCATACTGTCAAAATGTCATGTATTTGCTGTGCATTGAGGCGTTTTACGCGTAAACTGCAACGTCACTCGTATGTTATGAAGCTGGGTCAGAAAGACCTGGTTATTGAGGATCGTTTTTTTTTAACATTTGTGCGGTTTTTAGGTTAGGTTTTCTATCTGACAACCTGGCTTTTGTCAATATTTTTTTTTATTTATTTTTCATAGCAAGCAATACAAAGTACATTCAGCTACATTTGTTACAGTTATATATTATTTGACTGCGTGAGAGGATCGCTATCCTGCGATAGCGCCTTCATAGATGTTATGTTATATTTTGTAGTAAATCATTGCATATTCTTTTTTTAAGACGCTTTGGTGGTAAAGGCTTGAGCAGATCTGACGCTGATACGTTTGGATGACGACTTAGACGAGCTTTGTATCTGGTGCAGTAAAGACTAATTTCTTCTATAGTTCGAATTCTGAGATCTTGATATATCAACCAATTGGGAACGTATTTTGGAGCGTTTACGATTTCTTTCAAAATTTGATTTTGGAACCTTTGTAGAATAGTTATGTTCGATTTACTGGCCGCACCCCATATGTCAATATTTAGTATGGAGGTTCTTCATAACATAGCCTTGCCATAACATTTGTCTGTTATGAGGCAGAATCGGTCCATGAATATGATGAACTGGTTTGAAGATAAAATAGAAGGTCTAAAAGGATTGGAAAGACGAAGAATGCAGATGATTGACGATATAGGCGAGAAGAGAAAATACAAGCAACTGAAAGTCAAAGCACAGGACCAGGAATTATATAAAAAGAAATCCATAAAAAGGTGAATAATGGTTATCAGACGCAAATGGAAATAAAAAACAACAGATGAATAAGAATAATTGAAAAATCCTTTAGGCACATAACCATTTGCTATTATTAAACGAAATTAAAACTAGTGGGGTGTATGGCATCGTACCATATTCGAGAAATATTAAATGTTTTCATATAGATTATTATAAATACTGGAACTTATATATGTTTACAGAAAAGTAAATGAACAAAACTTAATCAAGCCGAGTTAGAATTGAAGGACCTTATCTCATATTTCTAAGAAAAAATAAAATATTATAATAATATTATAAACTGAATTGCTAAGTTAAAATTATTTATTTGAAGTATATAAGTGAGCTCTAGAACTTTAACTAGATGTAAAATTAAAATCCGAAATATTTTCGATATACGAAAAAAAACATTTTTGAAATAATTTTTTACCCAAAAGCAATCGTTTCGTTAGCACAAGCAGAAAGTTTAAAGAATCATTCAAATCGGATGCTTAGTTCTCTCAAAAACAGCCATTATTTGCAACTTTAGCTCCTTATCTCCGAAACGACTAGACCTGCCTTTGTCAAAAACTAATCACCTCTTCTCCCAATCATTACAAATTGAATGTTTTTTTAGATCATTCAAATCGGATGATCCGTAATCTCAAAAACTCGATTACTATTTTCTGCACTCTTCGCTCCGTATTTCCGTAACGGTTGGACCTGCCTTTGCCAAAAACTAATCGGCACATCTCCCTATCAATAGGAATCGAATAATTTTAGAACCATTAAAATCGGTTGATTTGTGCGCCCGAAAACCGTGGACGAAATCTTGTCTATCCATACGTACAAAAATACATACATACATATTACATACATACATACACACACATTTGCAAGAGAAGTGCTAATTGACCTGCGATCTATGGAAAGAGAAAGGGCAAATGGAACTTCGCTCATTTAAAAGATCAAGAATTTTAACGATTTTTGAACGATTACAATAACTTTTCTTAAGTTAATTAAGACTTACCTCTGAAAGTATTGCACGGTTGATGGTGCCTCCACTGTTGCAAATCCATCCTTCCCAAAGACTTTGGATGATTATGCCTGTAGTGATCCTGTGGATGCTGATTACTAAGCACAACTTGACTCGAATTAACTTGATTAACATCACCCTTCCCAGAATCTGCAGGCTTTTTGAAACACGTAAAAGGACAATGGTATACAGGATTCGTGTCAGCACTATGTGTAACACCAGGAATCGGATAATCATCCCAATCAAGATGACAAGCTTCAATAGCAGGCTTAAATCCAGTGAATACCTCCAAATCTGATAAAGGTCTGCTCCCACTTCCACTGCTTCCATGATGATGATGGTGGTGGTGATGATTATGATGGTGACTGTTGTTATGGTGGTGACTTGCTGATAATTTGTGAGAGCTTGTGGTGGTTGTTGTACTAGATCCACGAGCTTTGACAACTTTATCCAAGATTCTTAAATGCCATTTGATGAATTGAGCTTTAAGCATTTCTCGTTCCTTGGGCGCTAAGGCTGGATTCTGAGCAGCCAATCTCCATAAAACAACTATTTCGTCACATAAGGAACTGCAGGCGTGTTGAGACGCGTGAGCATTTGAATGTGCACCACCGTTGCTGTTGGATGATTGACCGCCTCTACCGGAATGCCCACCGCCTCCGCCGTGACTACCGCCGCCTCCAGAAACCGCAGACATCAAAGCCACACGCGTACTAAACCACCACACCAAAATCTGATCACAAGCCATACATTCCTCAGTTATAATATCTAATAACGGTATAGCATTCCTATCAGTTCTCTTAAACATTTCCCTAACAATAGACAAAAGATTCCACATTCCCTCAGGCTCTCTGCCTCTCAGAGGCCTGAGCAAGCTGCTCCATTCAGCAGCGGCCGGAGGCGCTGTGGTACTCAAATAATTCACGTCACTAAAAACTATAGGAGCAGGAACACAGAATTTGATCAAGATCTTCTTAATATTATCATGCAAGGTTTTGGTATCCAGATACCAAGACGTTTGATCACTGGCACTTGCACCTGCCGTCGGGTCTGGTGCGCCGCATACGGTATTAATTTTTGTCGGTTGGGAGCTGAGCAATTCATCTAAAAGTCTTTGAGCAGTGGGCAAAATTTGTTGAGGTAACTCGCTTATTAAATACTGAGCAAACTTTTGTAACTGGTCTCTTTGAAGCTGTTGGAGAGACTCCGATACGGGGGCGCGGAGACATACTTGATTTGGCTGGAAAAGAAAAGATCATATGAAGAAATCGACTCTGGTTTATAATTTCTGGCCGTACTTACACAATGAATACGATGCAAACATACTGCAACGATGTGAGAACACCAATAAGCGAGAGATGTACATGTACAATTGCAGGATGAAATTCTCCGTCGATCAAAAGTCACAGCAACGTTAAACTGTCCTCTCGGTTGAACCGAATTGACGGTAGCCGAGAGATGAAAACCTGAAGATAAATATTAAATTATTGCAAATCAAGGGGCGTCCATTAATCACATGTTAGATTTTTTGATACGTCGTAATATTTAGAATCATATTGAAATAATATATTATACTAGCTGACCCGGCAAATGTTGTTTTGCTAAGCAAGGTATATTCTAAACAATTTCTGGAGCCTCAAAAAATTTAATATGCTATATACAATGTTTGAATGCTATATACAATGAGGTATTATCAAAACAATAAACCCCATTAGTTTGTCTATATTTTGTCAATACAATCAAACTGGAAATTTTATACACTTTCTATAGAAAGCATGGCATAATCCAGTCCAAGTCTTTTTTGGCCTTCCGACTTATTGATTACTCTTCAAGTTTTTCAGCTTCTTTTTGGATACTGGATTTTGTGTATAATTATAAATAATACTACTGAGCTTATAAAAATTTTTCAAATTTCTGCCAGGAGATATAAAAAAAGAATTAAGTATTTCTTCTTTGACCTGCTTTTTGAAAAGTTTCAAGTAATGAATGAAAGTAAATTTAATCAAACGTATATATGAAGAGCAGGGCGAGGCACAAAAGTCCAATTTGACTTTGAGCAATTCTAAATTATATCACAACAAATAATACATTTCAACCGAACAATTATCTGACTAGGTTCAGTAAAACTGCCAGCTACTTCATCATTGTAGAAATGTGCTTTTTGCTGTCTTTCAAGACTTTGTTTAATGAACAGGTTTAATGTCTTATTTTAATTTTAAAAGTATTTTACAAAATAATTACACTTTTAACTAATGCCAAAAAACTACCAACGGAAGACAATACTTTTATTACGGATTTTCAAAGATTACCGTTTATCTCCCGATAGCAGAGTCATAAGAATCAAGGTTATAGCTGGTTATACATCTTTTTCCCTCTACTTTCAAATATCGTTGTTAAACAATGTTAAACTTTTGACGGCAACAATGATGGTTTTTGATACATCGGTGATGGATCTTTTCAACCCCGGACTTTTATAAATTACTATCTATTTTTCGATAAATTCTGGGAAATTATGACTGGGAAAATGTTATTTGACAAAATGTCCCTTTGATCGATACCAAATTTAGGTTCTAAATTTAAAAAACATAAATAAAAAATAATATAACCTAGAAAATGTTTTATAAATACCAATTAGTATATAATTATACAAATGAGATCTCTCAGAGCACTGTGTTCGAGAAAAATATGCCAAAAAGTGCATTTTTAAATTAACATTTCAAAAAAGTTGATATTTTGAGTCTCTAGTAACACTTGCGGCCCGTTTACTAACGTTTTTGTATATAAATAAAACTACAAACAAAACTACTTACTACAATTTAATCATAATCTTATAATATTCACGTAAAACATCCTATTAAACGTAATTGAACAACGTTTGACATTTGACGTATTAGCCACCGTCCATTGTTTTATTCAAATTACGCTTCTACAAAAATTTTCAAATTAAAAATGTAAAGTTTCTACGCGATTTTGAAATAATGTCTCTCACCTTTCCGACAACCTACTGATTAGCACGAATTTTTCAAGACTAAGTCTGGCCAAATCGGTTTAGCCGTTTTCAAGTTTTACTTAGACATATGAAAGAAAGCTCCATTTTTATATATAAGATAAATATATATATATATATATATATATATATATATTATTATTATTATTATTACCTATCTGAAGAGGATCCTTAACCGCCTTGATCCGAAACAAGTTGTCTCCTCTCTGGAATTCGTCGGCGCTACCGTTGGCCAAACACGAATACAGCCTGATGTCTTCCTCGTTATCAGGAAACGACCAGAAGGCGATCCTTAGCTGCAGTTGTTCCGGAACCGGAGGAAACACTCTTTCCACCAGTTCGAAAGGGATATGAGAGGCGACGCAGCGGGCGCAAAGTTCGGTCAAAGAGGCGACACCGTTTGTACTTGCGTTCGATGTTGAAGGCGCCGCCAGATTTGGAGGCGTGCCTGATGACGATTTGTTGCTACCTCCATCTGAAGAGGGAAAAAGAATCATATTTGTTAATTCAATTTTAAGGAAATCAATAGTCTACTTGTTGCGTCGTCAGAGAATAAAAACTAGTGGTGTATGGCAACGTGCCTTAAGGCAAATTGCTGGAATCGTAACAAAATGTTCGAGAAATTTTAAACGTTTTCAAATATATTATTACAAATACTGTAGTAACTTTCATTATTTTTGCTATCTTGTTTGTTATATCTGAGCAAATCAAATGTAAATTATAAATAAATCAATTTATCTCCAGAACATTAACAATCGTCATTTCATTTCGAATTCAATTTCAAAAAAAAAATAGTTGCCTAATTTGCACAAAATTGAAAAAGTGCTCCCGCATAGTCACAGTCTAAACGCATTTGCAAATAATTCAGTGCGACATTTTCACTTATACTGTGCTTAGCTTGGCGGCATTTTCGAATTTTTCAATAGTTTTCACAAAATTGAAAAAGTTCTCCAGTACATAAACAGTCTAAACGCACTTGGGTAAACGTTTGTACCAGAGTGGCGCTTAGACTGTGCTTAGCCTGGGTAATTTTTTGAATTTTTAATCCAAAATTACAAAAATATTTTATGGAAAATTAAAAAAGATGTAATAATTTTTTATCCTGAAAAGTAATTGTTTTGTCAATACAAACAGAAAGTTTTTTACAAATTGCCATTTTTTGCACATTTAGCTCTGTATCTTCGTAATGGCGGGACCTATCTTTGCCAAAAATTAATAACCACTTCTTCTCCCAATCATTACAAATTGAATGTTTTTTTAGATCATTCAAACCTGATACTCCGTTCTCTCAAAAACACGATTTGTATTTTCTGCACTCTTTGCTCTGTATCTCCGTAACAGCTGGACCTGCTTTGCCAAAAACTAATTACTTCTTCTACCAATCAATAGGGATTGAATATTTTAAACCATTCAAATCGATTGATCCGCGCGCTCGAAAACGTGAAAAAATGCGGACATCTCAAGGAGCCGTTTCTTTGTAATTTGCACAAAAGTGTAAAAATTTTCAGTTTTTAGAAATTTGGAAACTCATTTCTGTATTCGGATTCTATTCAAAAAGACCTTTCAAATGATACCCCACATGCCATAATACTAGCAATCATAAAATATTTGAAGTAAAACTTCTTTAGACTCCTCTGCTACAAATTCGTAAAAAGTGTATATTTTGTGGACAAATCACATGGTTAGTTTTAGTATTTGCTACATAAGTAGCACACTTGACATATTTGAAGAAAATAATCAGTGAGTTTTAAAATTCTAATATTTTTTGCAATAAAATATAACATTTTTCATTTCTTACAATACCGTTTTTACTTTAGTTTTTATTACAATACAATCACGGTTTTGTGAAAATCGTATTCTACTCGTCGAGACCTTTTAAACGATACCCAACATGCCATAAAAGATACAATCTGAAATTTTTGAAGTAAAACTTCTTTAAGCTCGTTTACTACAAATCCATTAAAAGTAGATAAACTTCATAGTTAATTTTAGTATTCGGATTCTATTCAAAAAAACCTTTCAAACGGTACCCAATATGCCAAATTTAAAATTTTTGAAGTAAAACTTCTTTAAGCTCGTTCGCTACAAATTCATTAAAAGTGGATAAACATCATCATCGTCAAAAGAACCTTTCAAACGACACCCAAACTTGCAAAAAAAACACAATTTAAATTTTTTGAATAAACTTCTTTAATAACTATGCCATTTGTCCACACTTTTTACGAATTTGTAGCAGATGAGTGTAAAGAAGTTTTACTTCAAAATTTTTACGTACCTTTTATGGCATGTGGGGTATCATTTGAAAGGTCTTCTTGAATAGAATTCGAAAACAAAATTTCTAAGCCCCAAATAGTAAAAAAAAATCTTCTATTACCATGTACGTATGTGTACATCGAGTAATAATCAATTATCCGATGCAGGTGATTGATCTCTCATTTCAAACTACATATAATAAAACAGTATGAGTCAGTTCATGTTGTGATCATGTGATTCACTCCTACGATGAACGTGATTCATGATTTTAAATTAGTAAGTACCTACTATAAACCGATTATTTAGCGGTTTTTGCGAGATGATGATTCTTCAGAAAACTATTAATGGATTTCGTAAAAATGTCACCGGATTTCATAATAAATTCATAAATGGATTAATTTTTCTCTTTGTACTATGACTAATTGCTTTTAGTTCGCTGATCAAAGGCCTTATTACAATTGTTTTAGAAAAATATTTTTCAAATATTTTGGTTTGAAAGTCATAAGTCTTTCTAGTATTCTCAAAAAAAAAAAATTGAGAAATTTTGCTTAAAAATTTAAATAAACTTCTCTTATTAACTTCCCGTAGGGCAAGTAATAGTAATCGCAAAAAAATCGAAAATGAAAATTTTTGCATTTCTCGACGTTTCAAAGGTTTCTGAATATTTTGGCATACCTTAGAAAAAATGGATGTATGTGCGTGTGTGTGTGTGTGTGTGTGTGTGTATGTATGTACGTGTGTGTATGTATGTGCGGATACAAATTTTCGTCGACGATTTCGGGAACACGGATCAACCGATTTGAATATTTCAAAGAACATTCGATTCGTATTGATAAGGAGACATGCTGATTAGTTTTTGGCGAAGGCAGGTCCAGCCGTTCCAAAGATACGGGGCAAAAAGTGTCGAAAACGGTAACTCAGTTTTTAAGAGAACGGAGCGTCCGATTTTAATAATTCAAAAAACATTTTACTTGTATTGACAAGGTAAAGAACCGATCAAATTTTCATAAAGGTAGGTCTAGCGGATTCGGAGATATGGAGGAAAAAGTACAAAATGAGCCATTTGGCGGTCAAAAATGATCATTAGACATATGCTCATAAAATATCAGATATTTTATAGAGATTTTAACAATAAGTATAAATTTGGTTTACATTCCTATGGGTTCCGTACCAATGCTTATGCTTTAGACAGCGACGCGGCGCTTACGCGCTTTATATTTTGTCCCTATGCAGTTAAAGCAGTACGATTGATTGCTTTGAAAAGAAAGTTCAGATCTTCCACAATATGTCAAAATAAAAAAAAAAAAATTTTCAAAAAAAAAAAAATTAAAAAAAAAATTGTTTTTTTAAAAAATTTTTTTCAAAATAAAGTAATTTTTTGTCAAATTTATAGTTTCTCAAAAATCTAATTTTTTCAAAGTAAAATTTTTTCAAAAATGTTAATCGTTAAAAAAAACTAATAATTTTTGGTACGGGAAGTTCCAGCAATTTGCCTGAAGGCACGATGCCTTAATTGCCTTAAGACAGAATTCCACTTACAGCTAGTTTTGACATCTCACTCTGGTTGGACAGCCGTGCACTCTTTTAAACAATCATAACTCTATCAATATTTGTGTAACAGAAAAATAATAAAAAGCAATAATTAGTCAGAAAAAGACCTTGAATTTTCATTTGTAAACCTTTATACGTATCTTTTATTCTTTCAGAGATATAATAAGGAGAAATTGGTTGATTTTTTAAATAGATTTTTTTTCATAAAGTCTATGAGTATTTTTGTTCCTCATAAATAACTCCACGCTATTACTTGGCATTTTTTATCTTATCTTAAAATATACACAAAATAAATACATTTTTTTTTAGTGGGCGATATCTATGACCACACCTGTCTTTGAAAAACGAAATTATGTATTGGCTAATATTTAATAAGAAATAGTTTTATGGTTGTCACAAAAAATCAATATTTCAAGCGAAAAGATTTCAATCACAGAATTGAATAATTCTAGGAAGAATGTACATTAAGCAAAATTCTTCGAAGAATAGAACTAGTAACTATAAAATAACAGATTTTTTTTTAAATATGTGAGCTGTAAAACTTTTGTAGCGAATACTAATAACTATGTGATTTGTCCACAAAATATACACTGTTTGCGAATTTGTAGCAGAAGAGTCTAAAGAAGTTTTACTTCAAAAATTTTTAATAGTATCTTTTATGGCATGTGGGGTATCATTTGAAAGGTTTTTTTAGTAGAATACGAATACTAAAAGAAGTATCCAAAAATCTCTTAAAAATATAAATAATTTTTAGTATAAATGATAATTATATTTCATCTGATAATTCGTCCAAAACCTTCAACTGATATAGCTTTTTACAAGATAATAAAATTTTTATAAATTGCAATTGTATTCCTGATATACATTTTTAGCATACGAGATAAAAATCTAATTATCTAAAGTAGTAGTGCTCATGGTTTTATTATGTTATAAATAATTTTAAAATATTGCCAATTAAAAGTTCAGAGTGGTTATATGCGTTCAGCTGACGTAAAAGTTTTTTTCCCAACGTTTAATATTTTAATTAAAATTTATTTTAATTAATGGGAGTAATAAATGGACGAGTATTGCACATTTTATACTAGCAGTAAAGATAATATGAAAATAATATAAAATGTGTTGACAAAAATGCCTAGCTTTTAATATTTTTAATATTTACTAATATTTGGAGTTTTTTTATTGGAAATTAAATTCTAAACTGATAAACAAGAAATTATTTGCTCGTAGTGACAGTATTGCAATTCGTCATATAAATATTTGGATGATCAAGGAATAAAAAAACTTAATTGGTTAATTTGGTTTGAGTGAAATAGATCTTATTACAACTTGAACTAAAATTTATTTCGAATAGATAGAATCAAGTGAAATTTAGGAATGGCATAAATCGTAAATTGACCTCTCGACTAGAACCGATTTGAAAATATTGGGTAAAAAAACTTCAACAAGCACTAAAAACGTGATATTTATTTTGAAAAATTTTAGAGAAATTTTAATAACGACAAATCAGCAAACTTTCTTATATCAATAAAATTGCCTCTGGAACAAAAGCCTTGAGTTGCTTTTAAAAAACCCAAGCAAATGAATATCACAAAGTTCTTCAAACTATTGCCTTAAGACAATTGATCAAAATGTGAAAAAAACTTC